GACGAAGATGATGATGACGAAGATGATGGTGGTGATAACAAAGACGGTGATGAACCAATATTATTATTATTATTATTATTATTATTGATATTACTATTATCGTCGCCAACATCCTGGCTGTTATTATCATTTGATTCAGCAGCTGCTTTACCTTTACGCTTCCTTAATCCATCATGATGATTTTCATTTTGTTGTTGATTTGATGATGATTTTGTTGTTGAATTTTTTTTATCGAGAATTTCAATTTTTCGTTTAAATTTATTAAATAGTGTCTCGGCACGTAATAAAGTTTCATCAATTGGAATTGTCATTGATAGATCATTAACATACTATATAAATATATAATGATTATATCATTAAATTAAATTAATAAATTTTCATGATATTGGCAAAATATAAATCATGAATGATACCTTTAATATTTCATCAAAACGATGTAAATGCTCAACGATTGCCATTTTATGTTTGTCCAAAATTGCTAAAGCAACAAATAAATGAAACTGCGAGGATAAATGGTCAGACCAAAGAACTTCCCATAAATGTAAAACTTCATCCCATTTAAATTCTCTTTTGAACCAAATTAAAATCCATCGGAAACAAAAGAAAAGATGCTTGAATATTATTTGAAGTTGTTGTTGGTGGCAATAGTTTAGAAGTGAATTGCGAAGTCTATTTTAAATAAATAGAAACCATACAAATTAGAAATTTAATTATAATAATGATTTTTATTAATAACCTTTCTATAATTTACCTTATTTGAAGAAGCTAACGATGAAATAAAAATTGGAACTGAATTAGCCCCTGGTTTATCAAAAGGATCCGGTGATATTTCAATTGATCCTATATTGCCTCCTGCTGAAGAATAATTATTATTTATATCACCACTACCGGTAGAACCAACTAGTTTTTCAAAATCAACTGGAACGCTTTTTTCGTCATTGGTACCTGCACATCAATAAATAAATTATTTAGCTTAACTGACCGAATATTTAAATATTTAAAGATAATTATATAGACATATGTATTAAATCAAATTACCTTTACCACCTTCCAAATGTTTTTTAGAATTATCTTCGATGCTTCTAATATCTTGTAATTGGCGTGAATGCAAATTTTCAACTTTTTGACTTAATCCTTTGATAACTTTCATGAATTTTTGAAACTATAAATAATAAAAATTTACAAAATATAAAAGATCATTCTTTTTTTTTTTTTTAATAAGAAATATTTATATGAATTTAGCTTGCCTGTTCAAGATTTAAAGTGGGAACGATTGATAATTTCCATAGATGCGGTATAATTTCTGTTGCTAATACATCCTTTTCCATATTTTTACCCATTTCTTCATAAACAGCAAGAGTATTAACCTAATAAAGTACAAAAAAAAATATATTACTAATCATATCAATTGAATGTCAATTATATTTATGTTATTTTACCATCACAGAGGGCTCCTTTGTTTTAATTCCTCTTAATAAAGGCATTAATTTTTCAGTCATTGTAAACTTTAAAAAGGAGAAAAATTAATGTTAATAATAATAGAAATAATTTTTATGTCAAAAAAACTTTCAAAA